ATCATAGCTCACTGCAGCCTCAAACTCCTGGGCTCAAGCGATCCTCCTGCCTCAGCCTTCCAAGTAGCTGGGACTACAGGCAGGTGCCACCACGCCCGGCTAATTATTTCTGTTTTTGGTAGAGACAGAGTCTTGCTCTTGCTCAGGCTGATCTCTAACTCCTGACCTCAAGCAATCCTCCCACCTAGGCCTCCCAGAGTGCAAGGATTACAGGTGTAAGTCACCGTGTTCAGCCTAGACTCTTTCTTCTGTTCTACCAATTTATTGGACTGACCTTGTGCCAGTAACTGACTCTCTTAGTTAATGTAGCTTTATAGAAAGTTCTGATATCTAGGAGTTAACTTTTCCAGCTTTCTCACCTTGGTTATTCCAGGTCATTTGCATTTCTATACGCATTTTATTTTTTTATTTTTACTTTTTTAGAGACGGGGGTCTCACTATGTTGTCCAGGGTGGTCTTGAACTCCTTGCTTCAAGTGATCCTCCCAAGTAGCTGGAATTACAGGCATGTGCCGTGGTGCCCAGCTGAGAATTGACATCTTAACAATATTAAGTCTTCTAATCCATGAACACAGTACATCCCTTTCCTTATTTAGGTGCCCTTTAATTTCTCTCAGTAACATTTTGTAGTTCAGGGTAGAGGTTTTACATCTCTTTGCTTAGATTTATTCTGAGTATTAGACATTTTTTGATGCTTCTATAAATGGTATTTGTTTACAATTTTATTTTCCAATTGTTTGTAGCTAGTTTATACAAATACTATTGATTTTTATGTATTCACCTCAAATCCAGAAACTTTGTTGAATTCACTTTATTTCTAATAAATTGTTATAAATTCTTTTGGATCATGTCATCTTTGACATGTTTTATTTATTATCTTTTCTACTTTTAAAACCTTTTATTTATTTTTCTTATCTTACTACACTGACTGGGATTTCCAGTACAATTCCAGTTGAATAGACATGGTGATAATGAACATCTTGTATTCTCAAATTCATGGGAAAAACATTTAAAATTGTACCATTAAGTATGATGTTAGCTATAGGTTTTTGTTGCCCATTGTCAAATTAAGGAAGTTCTCCTCAACTCCTAGTTTGCTAAGAGGTGTTTGTTTTTTCATGAATGGTGTTAAATTTTATCAAATGACCATTTGCTTCTTTCCCTTTATTCTGTTAATGTGGTGAATTACATTGACTGATTTTTTCAATATTAAACCAACCTTGAATTCCTGCGATAAACTTCACTTGATCATGATATATTATCCTTTATATAAATTACTTGATTCTATCTGCTAATATTATGTTAAAAGATTTTAGCTCTATTTTTGTGACAGATATTGGCCTTAAATTCTCTTTCTTGTAGTGTCCCTGTGAAGTTGTGTTATCAGGATTATGCTGGCCTCATAAAATGTGTTGGGAACGTGTCTCCTCTTTTCTTACTCCCTGAGTTTGTATGAAAGTAGAATTATTTCTTCTTTAGTTATTTTTTTCTTTTTTCATTTTTAAATAGTGATAGGACTACTCGAGTGTTTTGTTTCTTCTCGTGTCAGTTTTGGAAGGTGTATTTCTCAGAAATGTTTCCAGTTCATTTAAATTTTCAAATGTGTTGGCATGAAATTTTTTATAATATCCTCTTACTATATTTTTAATGTTTGTAGGGTATGTCGCATGTCCCTTCATCACAACACTTTCACAGTCTATTTCTCCTTCATCTGTTTGCACACAAATATTTGTCTGTCTCCCCAGGCTCCACGAGGACAGCACCTTTTGTCTATTATGTTCACTGCTATGTCCCCAGTGTCTAGAACAGTGTTTGGCATGTGACAGATGCTCTGTGCGTGTCTTTTGCAAGAAGGAATGGATGAGAGGTGGAGTCTTGAGGGGGATACCCTCAGGATGGGTGGGTTGGGTCTCTGTCACCCTGGGAAGGTCCTACCCCCTTTACTGTATATTCTGCAGGCTCAGCACGGTGCAGAGCACAAGGAATGGAGGCCTCTTTTTGTCTCTATCCAGCCCTGCACTGGGCCTGCCCCTGGGTGTCATGGGCTTGGGGCTTAGGCCTGTCTGCCTGTGTTCTGCAGAGCCACCCTCCATGCGCCTGAAGGCCCAACCCAGCAGCCCTGGCTTTTCTAAGCTCACCTGCAGTGCCTTCTCCTTCTACCCCCCGGAGCTGCAATTTCGATTCCTACGGAATGGGCTCGCAGCTGGCTCTGGAGTGGGTGACTCTGGCCCCAATGGTGACGGCTCCTTCCACGCCTGGTCATCACTAATAGTCAAAAGTGGCGACGAGCATCACTACCGCTGCCTTGTGCAGCATGCAGGGCTGGCACAGCCCCTCACTGTGGAGCTGGGTGAGGTCCCGCTGAGTGACAATCCTCCCTGTTTCTGATTGCCTCCGTCCCACTGCTACAGCAGTCCTTTCTGAGTCTGAACTTCCTCCCTGCTGCTGCTGCTGCTGCTGCTGGTCCTCTTTGAGTCTGGCTGCCTTGTTCCCTGCTCGGGACTGCCAATTCTTCCAAAGCCTGATGGCTTGTCCTCCCTAAGTCTGAGCATCTTCCATCTTGCTGCTGCTGGTCATCATGGAGTCTGACCATTCATTGTCTGCTACTGCCAATCCTCACCAAGACTGACCATCTGCTGCCTTGCTACTGCCAGTCCTCCGTGAGACTGACCTTCTACTGCTCTGTGCCTGCCCCTCCTTCCCAAGTTGGACCACCACCTGCCCTGCTGCCACAGGTCCATTACCAGTGTGACTGAGACCTCTCTTGCTATGGCTGGTTCTTACATCCTACCTGGGGATATTCTGCCCAGACTCAGAGCATCGCCCAACTGGCCTTTCCCCTGCCCATGCCCGCCCCCACACACTTGGTGCTGGGATCTTCAAGGTTGGGAGGGACCAGGACACCCCCCCTTGCCCTGTCTTGACTGGATGGGGTGGAGGGGTCTACTCAACGTCTCACGGCATTCTCTGGCTGCAGAGTCACCGGCCAAGTCCTCAGTGACAGTGGTTGGAATCATCATCGGCTTCTTGCTGCTCGTGGCAGCGGCTGCAGGAGGAGCGCTGCTGTGGAGGAGGATGAGGAGTGGGCTGCCAGGTGTGGGGCAGGAAGAGGGAGCGCTCAGAGAAAGGGACAGAGACCCCACAGAGAGGGGGACACAGACCAGGAAGGACAGAGATTTGAGAGGGTGGGACCGAGCATGGGAGGATGGGGAAATAGAGGCCCAGAGAGGGGCGACAGAGAGTGGGGGGAAAGGGGGAAATAGGGGGACAGAAACCCATGGAGAGTAAGATAGAGACTGAGAGAATGCACGTGAGACACACACACACAGAAATGGGGTGAGGGGCGGTCAGGGGCCCAGGGGGCCTCAGAGAATCTTATGCCCTCCCCCTTTCTTTCTCCTCAGCTCCTTGGATCTCTCTCCGCGGGGATGACGCCGGGGCCCTCCTGTCCACGCCTGGCCTGCTCCCGGACGCCGACTCTCAGGACATAAGTGCATTCCCAGCAACTGCCTGACCATCCCCCGTTCTGGCTGCTAATAGCTAACGTAGTCAGGTCTCTTTAGTGTGAGACCCTCTGGAATCCTGGCATCTCTGAGCCTCCAGAAGGAGTCCTGGGCCCCGTTGTCTCCCTCTGGATCCCTTCTCCTGTGGTCTTGCCTCAGTTCCCCCTCCTGATATATACGGCTCTTTTCCACCTCCACAATATAACATGAGTTTGGGCCCAAATCGTCGTGTTGTCATTATTTCAAGTTTTCAGGCCGGGGAGGTAAGGGAATGGGTGGGAGGAATGAATGATATAAACCCTAGGTTTCAGATCTCTCCTGTGGCTAATATGTGGCCTTGGTGGAATCTGCCAATCTTATATATCAAGTCATGTATTTTTCATTCATGAATTTCACAAATATTTACTGAATGCCTACACTCACCATGCCAGGCATCTTGAGGAATTCTTGGCTGGTGTCTGACCAGCCTTCTTTGTGCAGAAGAAAATTGTTCCCTCTTTGAGGAAAGGGAATGCCTCTTCTGGCCCTTGATTCGCCTCTGTCTTACACCATCCCGACAAAGAGAAAGAGAAAAATACATCTCCCGTGAGGCTTTGGGGCTAGAGCAACTGGAGGTAGACGGCAGGGCGCCCCGATGCCTGCCGGGAGGTGTAGTTTTTCCCGGCCGTGTCACTCTGGCATCGCCCAGCGGGTTTTCCCGGGGCCCACCGCGCTTTCTCCTTTGTGGACGTGGCGAGGGGCGCCAGCTGCCCTCCTGGCGCTCGTTGGCCCCGCCCCATGCAGCGCTTATTGGTCGGAGGGCGGGGCTCTGGCCCGCCAAAGGCGGGGCCTGACTTGAGAGCCGCCAAATTGGGCATATTTGGGAGAACACAGAGTGGAGTGTGCAGAGGGAGGCCGAGCTGGATAACCGGGTAAAGGGAGCGGGTAGGGGGCCCTGCCCAGGGAAGGCGGCTCGGGGCGGGTGGGGTCCAGGGTCCCCAGGACCTAAACTGAGAGCGACACCGGGGAGCCTGCCCGATTTCTTGCTTGGCCACCACCACGCCCTGCACTTTGCATGAGACGTGCACCATGTCTCCCTGAAGTCCCCCCTTGCGGATCTGGGACCCCTCGGGTACTCTCTCAGAGGATTCAGTCCCCACAGCTGGTTTTACCTCTGAGCAGCCCGGCCGTCTTTTTTCCCATTGCTGCCCCTTCTTGAGCCCAAAAGTTTGCAGCCAGCTTCCATCTCTCTGTCCTGTCCCAGGTAATCCCCCTAGACATCCACCCTCTGTTTCGTTTCTGTCCCTATCCCTGTGACCTCTGACCCTTGGCCTTGTCACTCCCCAGGAACCGATGATGTGGCGATCATCACTTCTGCTGTTTCTGTTGCTGCTGAGGCACGGGGCTCAGGGGAAGCCGTCGCCGGACGCCGGCCCTCATGGCCAGGGGAGGGTGCACCAGGCGGCGCCCCTGAGCGAGGCCCCTCACGATGACGCCCACGGAGACTTCCAGTACGACCATGAGGCTTTCCTGGGACGGGACGTGGCCAAGGAATTCGACCAGCTCAGCCCAGAGGAAAGCCAGGCCCGTCTTGGGTAGGAAGGAGATGGGGGTGGGGCGGGTTTAGGGGTGGGGGTTTCTGGAGAGAGATGGGAGCATTGATGGGGGCACAGCCAAGGGACTGGAATGGTGTGGACTGGACTTCAGTTCTTTGTGAGGATTCTGTCTTGAAGTTCTACCTCTTCTCCTCAGGAAAAACACAAATGAAGTTAAAATTGAGGCCCTCAAGATAGGACCTTTCCGGGCAGCAAACTCTGTTCAAATTCTGCCCCTAAGTCACTCTTTGTTCCTTTGTCCCAGACACCTCTCCTCCCCAAGCCTTAGTTCCCCGCCCTGGAAATGAGATTTGGCAGGTAAGGAGCCCAGCCAGGGCAGGAAAATGGCTGAACCCGGAATTTGAGGGTGAGCTGGGCTGAATGGGGTCTTGCTATGATCTGGAGAAAGTGTGTCCCCCCTCTGTGCAGTGCAGGCAGGGCCAGAGTGGGCCTGAGGTCAGGGGGCCAATGGAAGCAACCGCTCTGTGCATCCTACTGATGCTCATTCATCCTACAAATGTTCACTGAGCACCTACTACGTGCCAGGCACTGCTCTAGGTGTTAAAATCACAGCAGTGAACAAACAAGACAAAAATCCCTGTCCTGGCCGGGCGCAGTGGCTCATGCCTGTAATCCTAGCTCTCTGGGAGGCCGAGGCGGGCGGATTGTTTGAGCTCAGGAGTTCGAAACCAGCCTGAGCAAGAGCGAGACCCCACCTCTACCAAAATTAGAAAGAAATTAATCGGCCAACTAAAAATATATAGAAAAAATTAGCCGGGCATTGTGGCGCATGCCTGTAGTCCCAGCTACTCGGGAGGCTGGGGCAGTAGTATCACTTGAGCCCAGGAGTTTGAGGTTGCTGTGAGCTAGGCTAACGCCACGGCACTCACTCTAGCCAGGGCAACAGAGTGAGACTCTGTCTCAAAAAAAAAAAAAAAAAATCCCTGTCCTTGTGAAGCTTAAATTGTAGTGGCAGAAACAACAATAAATCCATAAGTATAAAGTGCATCACATGGAAATAAATGTATCAGAGAAAAGGCGAAGGAGTGAGAAGTGTGGAGGGGAGAGGCTGTTGTGTGTGTGAGGGGTGTAATTTTAAATAGGGAAGTCTGAGGAGGCCTGGATGGAAGGTGGTATTTGAGCCACGTGGGTATCTGGGGGAATAGCATTCCAGGCAGACGGAACAGTCAGTGCAAAGGCCCTGAGGCAGGAGTGGGCCTGGTCTGTCTGGGTAACAGTGAGGCCCCTGTGGCTGAAAGCCAGAGAGGGAAGGGGAGAGACTGGGCGGTGGGAACAGGGAGGGAGCAAAGAGGTCAGATCTTGCAGAGACTTTTGGGTCACAGTGAAGATTTAAGTTTTTCTCTGAGGGAGATGAGAGCGACGGGAGGGCGTGAGCTGACTTGGGCTTTAACAGAATCCCTCCGGCTGTTGGGTGGGGAACAGACTGTAGGAGAGTAAGCAAGGAGCCCAGAGAGAAGAGGCTGCAGTAGTCCAGGGGGGACACCAGAGAAGGTGGTGGCTAGATCAGGGCAGAGACAGCAGTGGTGGTGGCTGGTCAGCTGGCTGGAAGATTGTGCGTGGATGGGGGTGGGGAAGGAGGGGTGGGGAAGGGGAAATGCTAGGTTAGCACTTTTAGCTTAGTGCTAACTATGGTGCCAGGCGCTTGCTAAGTGCTTTACATGACAACTCATTTAATCCCCACAACCACCTGTTGGGGCAGGTACTATTATTTATCTCCATTTTACAGAGGGGTAACTGAGGCATAGAGAGATTAAGGGGTAACTGAGGCCCACAGCCAGCAAGGAGACAGCAGGGGTTGGATCTAGAATGTCTGGCTGTGGACTGGAAGCTCTTAACCACAGCGGGAGCCTCAGGACAGTGTGTGAGTCTCAGGGACAAGAGCCGGCCCCCTGGCAGACCCGGGCACAGACAGCCTGGGGTGGGAGGGAGGCAGCGACACACGCAGAGCTGAGGAGGGCTCTGCCGTCTCGGATTCGACCGTGGGGACTGGGCCACGGGGACCAAGGGACGGTGACAGGGAGGAGGGCTCCATGTGGTCTCTATTAGCGGTTGGGCGAGGACCGGGACCGTAGCAGGGCGTCACCAGGGGAGAGCAGAGGGGCTGGGAAGCTGACAGGCGTGGCCCGAGAGAAGAGGCGTGAGATGGCACCTAAATGGCTTGACTTGCGACGAGGAGGTACACAGGAACCGGCGGGACAGAACGGAGGGGAAGACGGAGGGCCGAGCCCAGGGGTTGCGGGTGATGGGTCTTGGGCAGTGCCTGGTTCGGCCCCGAGCAGGCCGGGAGAGCGGCCGGACGCAGCGCGGGGCGGGGCTGTAGAGAGGAGCCCGAAATCTACGCGCGGGGGCCAGGGAAGGGGGCGGGGCACGGGGCGGGGTTAAGGGAGGGCCCGGAGACAGACAGGGGAGGGGCGGGGCCTGAGGGCGGGCCCGAGACGGCCGGAGGTCCGGCCGTGGATGGCCGTGGCGGTTTGGGTACAGAGTCGGACTCGGGACCGGGGTCCCGCAGGCCAGGGGCGCGATGCGACCACCCGCTCCCTCACCCCAGCCAACTCGGTCCAGCGAGAGGTGGAGCACGTGCAGGGTCGAGGGGCGGGGCCGGGGTGGAGGGCGTGGCCCTGGCTTGTGAGGTCCCTCCCGCCGCCGCGGTGGCTCGAGAACCGCAGCGCCGGCTGTAGCCCGCTGGGTCTCGAGAAGCGCGTGACTCACCTCTGGCGGGGTCTCTGGGCTGGTGGGGCGGGTCCCGCGGGGGGCTCGGTCCCGAAATTGACACGCGCCCCTCCCCAGTTCGCCCGCGGCCCAACCGTGGCCCGCACGTTCAGCCTGATGTTGGGGGCGTGGCTCCGCGCGAAGGGCGGAGCCTGGCCGGGAGGAGACCCCCCCCGGAGTGGGCGGGGCCCGACAGTGACATGTGCCCCGCCCCGGCTCGCAGGCGGATCGTGGACCGCATGGACCGCGCCGGGGACGGCGACGGCTGGGTGTCGCTGGCCGAGCTTCGCGCGTGGATCGCGCACACGCAGCAGCGGCACATACGGGACTCGGTGAGCGCGGCCTGGGACACGTACGACACGGACCGCGACGGGCGTGTGGGTTGGGAGGAGCTGCGCAACGCCACCTATGGCCACTACGCGCCCGGTATGCGGCGAGACCCCAACCCCTGCTCCCCTCACACACCGTGACCCATCCTTTCTAGCCACCCCAGCCCTTAACCCATCTACCCAGAATCCCTGACTCTTGAGCAAGATCTGCCCACTTGTAGGTAGATCTACCCATCACTCTGAGACCCCCAATCCTTGACCTCTCTCTGGCTTTTCCTTCTGGGGTCCATGGCCTCTATGACTCCGTGACTAGGGAACTTCAGATCCTTGACCAGGGACACCTACTATGCCCTGTCGTCCTGGCCCCTGACCTCTGTGGCCTCTCATCCTGAGAACCCCAAAGCCATTTACCCTGTCCCCACTCTCTCAGTTTCCTCTTCTCTGTCCCAGGCCCCAGCCCCAGGCCCCCCGCAGCTCTTGTTCTCATCTTCCTCTCCTCTCCCTGCCTCCTGCAGCCTCCAGCCTTCCCCTCTCCTGGCTCCAGAGGGGTCTTTCTGCACCCAGAGCTGACCCTGCCGCTCCCCTGCTCAGGGATCCCCTGGGCCCCCAGGAGACAGTCCCAGCTCCTCAGCTTTGTTTTTCTACATTTTCTGCCCCAAATGGATCTACTGTGGTTTCTCCGAACTCGCCACACTCCTCAAACCTCTATCTACACTCTGCACGTGCTGTTTCCACCAAGGAAAATGCCCTTTCCCTCCTCTCTGCCAAGCATCTGAATCACCCAAATGGGCCATTCCAGTTGGCCAAATGGGTCAACTACAAGTCCACTGTTCCTGGCTGCATGCCCTTGGGCAAGTTACTTCCCCTCTCTGGGAATTAGTTTTCTCATTCAGAAAGTAGAATAAATGGAAGAACCCACTTTACTTGCTTTTTGTGCAAGTAAAGGATTAATTGCAATGTTGTAGTTAAAGAGCTTAGCATGTAGTAAAGTCTTACAACAAATTAGCTAATATAAGCCCAGCATGGTGTTGTGCCTGTAGTTCCAGCTGCTTGGGAGGCTGAGACAGGAGGATCGCTTGAGCTCAGGAGTTCAAGCCCATCCTGGGAACACATTTATCAAAAGATAAATGAATACAGCAAATAAATAAAAATACAAGTTAGCTAATATATATAATATGACATATAAACCTATGCAATAAATTATATATATGTTATATTGTATATATGATTATGTAAGTTATTGATATGTTAATTATTATTAATTCTGGGGCTGTCTTCTCTTCCTGGTCCCGAGTGGGGTTTCCTTTGTCTTTTTTCTCAGCCTGCTGGCGCTCCCTCCGTGAAAGCATGTCTCACTAAGATCTGCCCTTCCCCAGGTGAAGAGTTTCACGACGTGGAGGATGCAGAGACCTACAAGAAGATGCTGGCTCGGGACGAGCGGCGTTTCCGGGTGGCTGACCAGGACGGGGACTCGATGGCCACCCGGGAGGAGCTGACGGCCTTCCTGCACCCTGAGGAGTTCGCCCACATGCGGGACATCGTGATTGCCGTGAGTGCGGGCTGGGGGAAACCCGCCTCCCACACCCGTCCTGGGACCAGGCTTCTCATCCTGGTTCCAGTCTCCCGGCACTTGCCAGGGGCAGGTGGCCACCTGGTTCTCCAGCACCTTCCCTAGGGAACCCAGGCCATAAATGCCGATCAGTGGAGGGTGACGTTTGCCATGCCCACTTCCCGACCCCCAGTGTCTAATCTCTCCTCGTCAAGCCTCCCCCTCCCTGTGCTCACATTGGGGGTCTAGGCCTCTCCCCTGCCCCCAGACAACCATATCCCCAGAACTGCCTCAGGGAACCCCAATCCTGGCTAAACCCCAGAAACACCGCATTCCCACATGTGGAGTGTTCACTCTGAGACCTCTTCTGCTGGCCCCTCACCATTTTTTTTTTTGAGACAAGATCTCACGCTGTCACCCAGGCTAGAGTGCAGTCATCATAGCTCAGTGCAGCCTCCGACTCCTGCGCTCAAGTGATTTCTTGCCTCAGCCTGCCAAGTAGCTGGGACTACAGATGCGGTCCACCATGCCTGGCTAATTTTTTCATTTTTTTTGTAGATACAGGTTCACCCTGTGTTGCTCAGGCTGGTCTCCAACTGCTGGCCTCAAGCGATCCCCCTGCCTTGGCCTCCCAAAGTGCTGGGATTACAGGTGCACCACCGTGCCCAGCTTATATTAGCTGGTTTGTTATAAGAGCTTATTATATGCTAAGCTCTTTAACTAAAGTGTTGCATTTTAACTAAAATATATTAACTAAAATATTGCATTCCAGGCTAGCCCCTAATCTAATTGTTATTCCTTTATAATTTTTCCAAAACTTGCTGTATTCTATAGGGGAAGGATTACTTCCTTCCTTCCTTCCTTCTTTCCTTCCTTTCTTTTTTTAAAATAGACTTTATTTTTAGAGCAGTATTAGGTTCACAGCAAAACTGAGCAGAAGGTTCAGAGATCTCTGCCATGCCCCCGGCCCCCCTCACACGTGCAGCCTCCTAGATGGGACATTTGTTACGACCGAGGAACCTACACTGACACATCATTGTCACCCAAAATCCATAGTTTGTATTAGGGTTCACTTTTAGTGGAAGGATTTTCTACTTCTACCATGCTTAAGTTTTTACAAATTATTTTAAAAATCTAATTATATGTATTTCACGAATAGGTAACACTGGTGTTAAATGCCCGAAAGATATGTTAAAAAAAAAAAAAAAAGGAAAAGATCTATGAGATTGCTCCCTACGAGCTGTGAGCAACTTCCTCGTCTTTTCACATAACTGTGCAGTATTAACTAGTTCTGTCGCTGCCAGCGGGGCTGGTTCCTGTCTGCTGCCATTACAAGCACGCAGGACAACCTTGAACGTCCGTCACGTCACTTACACTCACATGTCCATGTGGCTCCAGGACAAAGCTTCTGGAGTGGAATTGTTGGGTCAACGGGGATGTGCCCCTCCAGTCATGTTGGATATTTCTAGGTATTTTACGTACTCAATTCGTTCAGCTTCGCAACAGCCCTTTGAGGTGGGGCTTTCGGCCTGGTTCAGAGATGGACACTAAAACCCAGAGGGGAAAGGTGTCATCTTGTTGCCCAGGGACAGTGTGACCTGGGCCTCCCGAATCCCATGGACTCCCCACCCTACAAGGCCCTAAATCCCTTGCTTATAGCAGACAATGTTGTGACAACACTTCTCTCTCCTGAGTTGACATTATTTCACAAACCCTGATTGAGCATGTCCTGTGTGCTGGGCACCCCTCTAACTCCTTTACCTCCGTTACTTCGATTTAATTGTCATGGCAACCGCAAGGCAGTGGGCTGCCATCTTTGCTTTATAGACAAGGATGGCCGGGTGTGGTGGCTCATCCTGTAATCCTAGCACTCTGGGAGGCCGAGGCTGGAGGATCTCTTGAGCCCAGGAATTTGAGGTTGCTGTGAGCTAGGCTGACACCACGGCACTCTAGCCCAGGTGACAGAGTGAGACTCTGTCTCGGAAAAAAAAAAAGAAAACAAAGAGGGCCATGTGGAGTGCGTGTCAAAATGGTCCACAAAGTGCACCGTGTGTGTTCTTAAAGCAGGGTTAGGGCCCAGAGGTTTCACCCCTTCGAATGTGTTTGCCAGGACACGAGAACGTTGTCAGGGACACAGGACAGCTCTCCTTGCGTGTAAGGATCCTGTGCTTTGCTGGACATTGGGGCCCCTGGCTCGCGCCCACTAAATGCAGGTAGTGCCCACATCATGTGTGCCCCAGAAAGCCATCAGATTTCCCACACACCGCCCGTTGAGACTGCTCCAATGCCTGCCCCAGGGCTAAGTTCCCCAAAGAACCTCACGTCCTTACCCCAGGGGTCCAGCCTCCCTCGGGAGCCACCCCCAGTCTGAATGCCTCTTTCTTCCCAGGAAACCCTGGAGGACCTAGACAAGAACAGAGATGGCTACGTCCAAGTGGAGGAGTACATCGGTGAGTGGGCCCCATTCCTGTCCCGGGTATGGGTGGCAGCGGATGTATATCACAGAGAAGAGAGCAGTGGCCCTAAGAGGTGAGGCGGGGGCACTGCTTGAGTTCATGCATGCACCAAACATTTATTGAGTGACCAGACACGAAAGCATCTATTAAGCACCTACTGTGTACCAGGCCCAGGAAACATTTATTGAGCACCTACTGCATACAAGTGGTTGAGGATATAGCAGAGAATAACATAGATAAGGTTCCTCCTTGGGAATCTGGAGTTTCTACAAAATCAAAACTTGGGGGCAGTGTTTGGTGGGGACGGGCGTCAGGAGGCTTGTCTTGAACCTGCATCTGCACAGCAAACACCATGTCTCCTGTTACATGGGGTGCAGGGGGACCCTCACAATATCCCCAAATCTCCCCTTGGCCCTGGTGCTGTCCCTGTCCCTTGGGGGCAACGAATTTAGTCAAGGGGAAAGCTATTAAGCATAGAATATTTTTGAAGTTTAAAAACATTTTTCTATAGAATATTTTTATGGAACAAACCTGCAGGCAAGACATTTTATTTAAGTGTAATTTGTTTTCTAACATCTGTGAGGAAGATAGAAGTCTTTTTCTTTATAAGAAAACTTAAACATCACAGCGGGATAGCTGACACATGATCACCTGCCACGTGCTCGAGACCTTGTTGTAAGTGGTTAACATATTGTCATTTCATTTATTTATTTCTATTTATTCATTTTTTTAGAGAGAGGGTCTTGCTCTGTCACTCAGGCTGGAGTGCAGTGGCACGATCTTAGCTCACTGCAGCCTCCAACTCCTGGGCTCAAGGAATCCTCCTGCCTCAGCCTCCCCAGTAGCTGGGACTATAGGCGTGCACCACCACACCCAACTAACTTTTCTATTTTTAGTAGAGATGG